CCCTAATAGAAATATCATGAAACTTCTTCTTTAAATTCATATGCTTGTGCGATTAAACATATGCCTGATTTCACCCATGTATTGAAAGGTTCTCGCAAACAGACCTGATATTATCAGAGAAGATTATATGAACGAACTGTGCATTCTTCAAGGTGGCGTTCCTCCCTTTCCCAATTAGGTAAAATCTCAATTTACCAAAAGGTTATTGGTTCCAGTTGCTTGCATTTGCGATACAATTCTACTTTGTGGGGTTTGCTTAACTTATTATAGCATATGGCATGCATTGCTTCAGGTTGCCTTCGACATAATAGAAGAAGAAATGGGGCGACCCCTCGAAGCTGTTTTCAGTAAAGTTCCATGATTTTTTTTATTAGGGTTCAAAGTCTGATCTAAATCTTAATCGAAATGAGAATGGGAGAACCAATTTCAGTTAAATTATTATTATTTTTTAATTATATTTTTAATTTTCTAGATTTTATGTTTTTTTTCTAGTTTTTTTTTTTATCTTTAATAGTAATTAAAATTCACATAAGCATTCATGTCATTTAATGAATAAATAAGAACCTTGGATGTCATGTAATCAAAAAGCTTAAAAAGAGTGTAAAAGTATTTGTAAAAATATTTGTCCGTTGATTATATATATATATATATATATATATGTATATAAGTAATGTTATGTAGGCTAAATTTTAGAATAAATTTGTAAAAAAATTAGTCAACTAATCATTAATTTTTATGTTATTTAGTTTATAAAATTTTATCTATAAATTTAATGTCGATAAAAATACCCTATATATGTATGTAGGAGTATGCATACGAGAGAAAGAGGGAATTTATGAGGAGAGACACAGACTGGTGGCAAATGGCAAATGCATTGAAGGCCAAAGCCATCATTGCACCAGTACGTCAGCATTGCCATGGAAATCATTTTTCGTTTTGATTTGATTTGATTTGATTTGACTACGTCCGTTTTTTGACTGTGGAACCAAATAACGAATTGGGAAGGAAGCAAGGGATATAGAAGCATGGGTTTTCGGTTTTCACCCACGAGAGTCGAGACTATGAAGAGCACCTTTTATGTAATGAGTTTATCATCCTTTAGGTTGATCCAATAAATATTGTTGTTTAGATAAAAAAAAATTATATATGACAATACATTATTAGATAAGAGTTTTTATCTTTCGTTGTTGAGTGCTAGCCTAGCTTAGCTATAAAATTAGAGAGCCCGTAGACTATTCAATTAATTAAGTTCATGTTTATCTCGCTATGATCTCTGTCGGTCTACATCTTCTCCTCTAATCTTTTTGATCAGTCTAGCCAGCTAGCTAATCTCTTTTTCGTGCAGGTTGATTTCTATTATTGTTTTACCTGGGATTTTATTAATAATTAGTTCTTTTTTTTTATTTTTCGTTCTTTACATAAACTATTAGTGAGTATTCTGTACCGAGGTTAGTAAAGGAGGTGGATTGTCTGCCTTTCTATTTTCATACTCTTCCTATATCTATTTGTTTATATAATTACGGTTAAATCACGTCAATATTTTATATTTCTATTACTCTTTCCATTCTTATGTCCTTAACCGTGATCACACATCATAGAAACGCATGAAGAAAGTATGAAAATAAGAGGGCAGACAATCCACCTCTGGTAGTAAATGGCCATGACATCTTCTCTGGAATGGCCTTTCATGTTTCTGGCAGAAAGAGAAAAACTAGGCTCCCACACACATACACGCACTCCCTCTATCGGTTGAGGGTCGGCTTAATTAATTTCTCCCATCCATCCACCTGTCCGTCAGTCAGTCATTTTGTCTTATTGCGTTGTCTTCTGCCTTTGTCCGGGAACGGAAGAAATGCCTTATGCTTGCTCAGCAGTCTCCATGACTTCCAAACTAATTTTGGCCAGACATTTATCATCCGTATATATATATATACTCTCTACAGTGTGTATATATATATATATATAAATTTCAAAATGCATATATATATGCTGGCTAACTATTCCTTTTGCCGCGTCTGTCTAATTAAACTACTAGGACAAAAAAAAAATATATATATATATATATAAGCCCTAATATTGGAAAAAGGACACCTGATCGATTAAACTTGATTATTCTGCACTTGCAAATTACAGTGAGTGTTGTCAATCAACTTACAACATTTCACCAGTTGGTCAAATGAATTCTGAGTTATGATAGAAATTTTATGTTAACTATAATATTGTGCAAACTAAAATGGTAACTCATTAATCATTATATATTGATGACTCCAAAACTTATGGCCTAGCCTGCTCTTCGATAAAACTATTTCACACACAAAACTAAGGATAATACTAGGTAGGCAAAAATTTTAAACAAAATTTACAAACTAAATGATGTGTCATCAATACAAGATAAGTACGATAATCAACACTTAAGTAATATTCAAATCGTCAACTTTCTTGTCGTTTAGTTTACAAAACTTAATCTACAATGCATCCATCTTTTTGAAACTTACCATATCATCATACGGGGATATTATGCTTTAACATTATTATGATTTATGATCATGCATATATTATATATGAAAGATTTTCAAATTTCATAACCAAATTAAATTTAGAAATGACTTAGCTATTACAGGAATAGGATCATATATATGGGACTACTGCAAATAGATATCTGTCTCCTAATTTTACTGTTGAGACAGAGTGCAAACAAATCCTCCAGATCCATGCACTATGTCTCCTAATTTTACTGGTGAGACTGCTGCGAATTGAAGGACACTTTCTGGACAAACTTGTTTTCCCTTTTTCTTTATTTTTGTTGGGCATGTTCTTGTTCTTTTTTTCCCCTTTTTGTTTCTCCTTAGAGGACGGAGGAGGATTGCAATACTAATATATATAGGGGTGTGATATCTATACACTCCATTTTACTTCTCACACACCTTTTTAATTTTTGGCTGTCAAATCGGATAAATTGAAGAAGATCAACGGATAGAAATTATCAAGGAGTGTGTGAGAAGTAAAATAGGATGTGTGGATAGCACACCCTTATATATATATATATATGCAAAGAAAAAAAAAAATATATATATATATAGTTGATATACTATGTGTATGAGAAAACAATTTCCAAGAGACATAAATTAGATATAATTAAATTGTCTGTAAATAGGGTATTTGATTAATCAAATTAAACTGTCACCTCTTCCACCATCTCTCTCTCTCTCTCTCATCGTACTGTTTCTTTTGGATTTTGAAGTCTCTCGAACTTTTTTTCTTCTTGATAGTTAATATACCCTGCATATCTGTGCCAAAACAAATGGATAGAAAGAGTTAACAAAATCATGAGTGTATGGGACTATGCATGTATCACTTATAAAGAAAAACCTAATTAATCACAAAATTATTTAGCTAGCTTTTCGCATGAGTAGAGATTGTCATACAATACAACCGTGCGCAGTATAAGGCTGTTTGCATAATGGTTGCTTCCAGCGAATAGTCCGAGTCCGGACTTCGGGTAATATATATATATACAGTCCCAAAGGCTGTTTTTCTTTTGTTGTAAAAAAGTCCTAAAGTCTGTTTTCGGTATAATCATTTTTTCTTTCACAGTAAGAATTTATTTTGTTTTAAATGGGGAATTGTATCGTCTTTTTGTTTGTTTTTTTTTTTTGACAAACGATAGTGTAAATGAGTTAAACAATTGGCGGTATGGGAGAAGAGGCATACGTGGGGATCGGAACCACACAAGAGTGCTTAGACATGATTGTTTTTCGCCATGGTGATAAAAAGTCTTTTTTTTTTTTACCTTCATTAAGTTGGACTCTTCTTCGGATGTGCTCACTTAAAAAAATTTAGAGTTTCTAAAAATAAATAATTATTTAGAGTGGGTTATAGGCACTCACAATTTGTTGAATATACTAATAATTTAGATGTACCAGTGTAAAATACTATTTTGGGTCGCATGGTTATGTTTGGAGGAAGGATTTTCAAAGTCCCAAGCCTACCGTGAAATAACATCTACACGCCAAGAGTCTTTTTCTTCAAACTCTCGTACGTGCTCCCACCCTTTATTGTGGGATCAAATAAACCCCTACCACTGGTGACGGAAATACTCACACACACTTGGATACGGTTAACTTGACAAATAGAATACAAAATCGACTGTTTACTGCATATAAGGTATATATATCTCTTTTGTTCCCATTTTGCATCATTTGGAACAATGTCATAACGGTGGTCAAACCCTAAACCACGAGACAGTATTTTATTAGATATTTCTCTTAATTATGAAGATATGTTGGTAGATCTATACCGAAAAAGTGAAGACATTTCGATAGATATCTAAAAAAAAAAATGGAGATATTCATTTAGTACATACTGATTTTTAAAACAATTTAGGTAAGCACCTCCCAAAACACTACCTCAGTACATTTTGCAAAAAATTCAACACGGTTTCAGCATAACTTGGCTGAAACTTTACTCACTTTCGGTTGGAAGCTATCGACTTTTTAAAACACTGTATTACTAGGGAGTGCGGGTGTAAGAACAGTTTTGGTTAAGTTATGCGGCTGTAAGATTTTAGAGTATTTTCGGTATATCCTTAACAAATGTAGGATATCTATCAAATCACTCTAGTGTTTATGGTTAATTTTGAGTATTTTACAGGTCATTTTAATAGTAAACAATAATAAATTACTTTTCTGTTGAAAGAAGAAAATATTAAAATATGTTTTTTTTAATAACTAAATGTGAACTTCAACAATTAATTTTCACCATAAAATTAAAAATTTGAAAACTTTTATTTGATCAGCATTTGGCCTGTGTCAATTAGCGCATAATTGACCTACAAAAGTGATCATACAGTACTAATTAAAGGCATTTATATATCCAATCATCAAAAGCTGGAAATAACAAGAACAACAACAATAAAACTGATAAATGGATCACAACCAAATTGATATTACTGTGGAAATGAAATATAAAATTTGTAATTGTATATTTATGTATAATACTTAATTCTTAATGAATATCGTATTTTTTCTAAATAAACAAATAATGGACGTACCTTAAATAATTTGATGGGATTGGTTGATCGAAGTTGTTGTGAGTAGATAAGGAAACGAAGAAATTCTAATTAAGAAGGATCAATGGTTCGGCGGTCGTCACCAGCAGCAGCCCTAGTTTGCTGGAACTGTTGACTGAGTTGGCCATAAATGCCCCCTGCAGCAGCGTTCATGGCAAGAAGGCTTGCATCGTAGTTGTTTCCGCCATCAAAGCTCCTAATCATCATCTGTTGCTGATGATAGGAATGATGATCTCGATCTCTGGGAAAAAACTGGTCTCGGCCTCCGCCGCCTGAATTGACATTGATCCCCATCCCCAAGTTGTTGAGTGAAGAGGACTGTAAATGTAGATGATGGTCGTGATTGTTATTATTATTGTTATTGTTACTGTGGGTGTGGGTGGCAGCAGTGGCAGTTGCGGCGGCAGCAGCGGCGGCGGCTATGAGTCCGTGACTGGCAGTGAGACCCTGCAGATTTTGATATTTGGAGAGTTCGGATTTAGCAAAGGTCAGATCCATCTGAAGTTGGCGGAGTTGGTTTTGGAGGAGAGAGATGACTCCAACGCAGCCGTAGACGGGATCGCGGAGGCGCATATCGGCCTCGTAGGCGAGCGAGTTGACGGCGTCCTCACGCTGGTGTGGGTGCAACTCATTGAGCAGTTTAGTGACGTTGCTGGCCCCAAAAACTTTGTGAACATTAGCAAACTTATGCGGCTGGTCCGGTGGGAAGTATGGCGCAAATACGCACTCTGCCTGGCACTTGCGTCGCAGGAACTTACACGCCGCGCATGGCGAATTCGTCGACAACGATGCCATCTTCCACCTCTTCCTCCTCTGTATTTGACCAATCCATTCATTAATATTACATATATATTATACGTATTAAATAAGACCATCATCAGCATACAAAGATCGCGAAAATTCCAAAACTAAAATTCCCATGGCATAAAAAAAAAGGTTAACTACAAAAGAAATGAGAAAAGAAAAAAAAAAAACCTTATACATTCACAGAATCACAGATGGAACAATAATTTTTCGGTCAATGTTTAATTTTCTTATCAGTATCTTTAAACTTGTCCCGTTACCATGACGGACAGTAATTAAGTGGTATTGATGATTATCTCACCAAAACACTGATCTGAATTCTTGCACTGAATAACAAATGCTGCAAAAAAGATGAGAAGGGTACGGCAGAAAAGGAATATTCAATGAATCATGATGAATGAATAGGCCCAACCCGAGTGGAAAAGAAATTAAACAAACAACGAGTGGAAAAAAAATTAAACAAACAAACGGACTTAATAAGAAATGAATTCGAACAAGAAAAGAGAGAAAATGCGAAATCTATGGCATAGTGGCGGCTTTGCCATAGTAAGATCAGCGCCGGCCAATCAAAGGTGGATTTCCCTCTTAATTATTACCTTGAATAATTCCCCAAGAAAATCAACTAAGTAATGATTCAAAATTCGCGTGAACGCGATGGTCAGGTAAAATTGGTATATGGTATTATTTGCCAGAAGAAGAAAGTAAGAATAAAAAGAAAACATTGACATATATCACTGATATTCTTCTTCTTTTTTAATTCGTTTAAAAAAAAGAACCAAAATGAAATCTTTTTCGTCTGAAAAGATCTGGTCTACCGAACTGTAAAAGGGCAGTTAGATATACAAAAGAATATGCATATGAACAAGAATATTACAGATAACATGTATGTGTATAAGTATGTTCTTGAAAACCATAAGGAGATCCAGCAAAAAATAAAAGAGAAAGAAGTGAGAAATAGTAAGATACATATATATATACACACGCACACACACAGACATTATATATATATATATATGTATATATTTATATTTATATATTAATTTCTAGAGTAGTAGTTCTTGTCTAGCTATTTCTCTCACCACCCCAGAAACCCTAAGCGGCAGGTAGCGGTGCAAAAATATCGATTCTTCTCTTGTAGGGAATAATCGACTACTAGATAAAAACGGAGAGAAGATAAGATGAAGAGGAGGAGAGAGGAAGAGATGATTTGAACGGGACTTTAAATTTGCAGGGTCGTCTCTCTCTGTAGGGTTTTTATCAGAGGAAGGAAGGAAGCATACAGTAGTGATAATATTTAATTAAAAAAAGAAAGGTTATTTACCCGTGGGTTTGAGCCTGAGAGATTGGATCTCGTGATGGAAGGAGTTTAAGAAAATGGGGTTAAGTTTCACCGTTCTCGATGAAAGCTTTGGACGCAGATCTTGCTTGAATTTCATACTAAAAAAATTATATATAGAAAATGGAAAAAGATATAAATATATATATGACTACTTAAAGTTTAATTAATTAAGAAGACTTTATTGGGATGAACCAACTTAATTACCTGTAGTAACATGTTAAAACAATGTCAAAAAAGAAAAAAAGAAGTAAAACGTTGAACCCAGTGTACTGTGTGTACATGTTAAAAATGAAAAGAAATAAACAATAAAGGCACGCACATAATATAATTTGGATGACATGGAGAACGTGTGAAGGGTTAATATAACTCTGATACCATAAAAAAAAGTTGAGATTCTATTGTAAATCAATTGGTAATATGAAGAGTAACTCAACCTCTTATAAATCATTATAAGATTTTTTTTTCTTTTACCAATATAAGACTTTTTTACTTACCCGTCCTCGCACAAAACACCTAACCCATCACCAACTGTGACCTTGCACATGAACTTCTTCAGGCCGTGGGTGTTGATGGAGGACAAGAATGAGATAAAGAATAATTAAGAGGAGGTGACTCGAAAACTCTGACCGTGAGGGTGAAGGGAATATTATTAAGGAAAAGGATCTTCTCCGGATCTTTTTTATGAGGATCCGAAAGATCAATCAATCACGATCGTTCATCGTATATCGTAAAGTCAGAAATCATTTTAAATTTTAAAATTTAAATTAAATATAAATAGTATCTAACGAAAACTGATCGCATGATGTACGATGAACGGTCGTAATTGATGGATTCCCCGGATCCCCACAAAGAAGATCCGGAGAGGATCCTTTTCCTATTATCAACTCTCTCAACTTCGGAAAAGGATCCTTGTCGCATCATTTTCCTAGGGATTCAAGAGATCTCGTGATCGTGACCGTTCATCGTACATCATGTGATCAATTTTCGTTAGGTACTATATATTTATATTTAATTTTAAATTTTAAATTTTAAAATAATTTTTAATTGTACAATATACGATGAACGGATATGATCATAAAATCCTCTGAATCCCCAAGAAAATGATCCGCGAGGATCCTTTTCCCTCAACTTCTATTCTTATTCCCTTGCTTCTCCTGAAAGTTTAGCAAAAAGCAAGAATAATAAACAATGATAAATATATATTTATCAATTAAAGATATATAATAATAAGAAGAAATTATGGAAAAGGGCGAGTAGTCTAGTTGCGTGCGTGCGGTGGCCTCGATTTCTTCGGTCAAACTTTTATTTTCTTGATGGAAATTTTACTAGGTCTACCACTACTGTCCTACACTAGTGGACTAGCACTAGCAGTCTAGCAGTGTAGTGATGAAAATGGAGGGATGGAGGACCGATCTCCACACCACAAACACAAAGCCTACCCTTCCAAACGGTTACTTTATTCTGTTTCCAAAAAAAAAAAAAAAAAAAAAAACCGTTACTTTATTCTTCGCAAATGAATTATGTATGATACGATGATAATACTATATGCATGTATAAATCTCTCTTGGAGTTGGATATCCATATATTTGTTTCAACTCTCTTGCTATCTCTCTCTCTCTCCCCCCCCCCCCTTCTCTGTATATTTTTTCCCTTCTAGCAGTCTACTATTAATCAGGAGAGAGAAGCGGTTAAATGCATAAAATTATATCCAGGGGTTCATGCAAATGTCTTCTCTTCTTTTTGGTACTATTTTTCTTATCGATCGCTTCTAATTCTTTGCCGGAAAAACAAATGGCGCGGAATATGCATGTAAAGATGATGCTCAGTTGCTCACAAGGCAGTCCTAAGGCTAAGGAAATGATTTGTACGTTATAGAAATTGATATATACACTATATTTATTAAAATTGATTTCTTGCGTCACTTAGTATTATAATCTAGTAATATTAATTACTCATCATTTGTAAATTAGAGATTTTAGGTCCGATTCTCACCAAAGACGAATTTGAACCACATTATTGTTATCCTATTGCGAGACTAAACTCATCTTCCTCCCTCCCTTTTAGTGTAGATAATATCGTTTGTTAATAATAATAAAAATTGATTTCTTGCTATTGCACTTATGACTAATATATATTGTCTTCGTAGCTCAAGTTATCTCACTAGGTTTAGAGTTAAGTCAAGCATTTAGTGATCACTTGCATATGTGAATAGGAGTTAATCAAGGCGGTGGACTCTTGTAACAGAGTGTCGGCACAATGCTATGAAAACCAGGTAGGAGAAATCGGGGAAGCCTTTATGAAGGTTCATTTTATTAAATTTTGTGAAGTGTTCCATAATTCACAGCAAGACAATTTTCTAGTTAGTGTCTAGTAACTTATGTCTTGTATGAGTTTTGTGCTTGTTTGTTTGACTTTGGTGGATTCTTTAATACCAATGTGCCCGTGGATTTTCTCCATCGTGTGTGGAGTTTTACCATGCAAATGAAAATCGTGTTTTCTCATTTTCTTATTTGATTTACTTAATTGTTGCTACGTCGCATGATTGAAACTGTGTTTCAATCCCGCATGTTTGGGAATTAAATTGAGGTTGTTTATCCGTTAGGTTTGGGTTCCTCGATCTATATGCATTTTCATTGCTCTTCAAGGAAAGACACAACTATTATGAAGAGTCACTTCCACATTTGTATAAATGCTTCGTTATTGAGTCATCAGTAAATTAATTACTTGAGTCGTACAAGTTTGTTTGCGTCAATCATAATTTGTGATTAAGTGAGTCGTGAGAAAGTTCTACACAATTGTGATTCAGTAGTGTCTTATGATTTGGTGTGCTAATATTGTAAATATATGGGTGTTGTATCCTAGAGACAAACGTCATTAATCAACCATGAGCACTGTAGTGAGACCTAAATTGTGTTATATAGAGTTTTTTTTAACACTTTCATATCGATCAGTTGGTTGTGTTTTCTTTATCCAGAAATTTCTTTCATGTATGTTTTGGAAAGAAATATATATGACCATAATAAAACCCTTATTCTCCACAAATGAGGGGTGGACATAGTTCAGTTCAGTCCGACTCACTCTTAAAATCGTGAACCAAACTGGAGTCTTATAATTAGTTTATTCATAAACTGAAAATTGCAAGGGAAACCCGAACAAAATTGGACCGCCTCAGTTTCGGTTCGATTCGCTTGGTTCTCGATTTTAAGTATATTTCCCATTCAAAATCAGATCTAGATATGCTGGCGAGGGTTTTGGCTTCGCAACCTTGAGATAGGATTAGACCTAATAGGTAGGGACTGAATCTGCAGGAAGAGATGGCAGAGAAATCGCCCAGTCAGTCGAGTATGGTAAAGGAGGAAGAGAGAGTTTGAGGTGCAGACAACGGGACTAAAGAGAGAGAAAAGAAGAAGAGATAGAGAGGCTAAAACGCGGACAAAGAGAGATGGAGATATAGAAAAGAAGGTAATGCTTGTTGGTTAAGTGTGGTGAGGGAGGAAGAGAGAGAGAGAGAGAATGAGGGAGAGAAAGGGAAGAGAGAAAGAGAGATGGCTCTTTTGAGGATTGAGGTGAGGGAGGGTAGAAGATTAGGTTTTGGTAATTAGGCTTAGGAATATTGGGCTTGAAAAATAATAAATTTGCACTTCATAAGGGCTATATGTTGTTAAAAAAATATAGGATTAAGTACCTAAAACCCCTCAATCTTTTAGTGTTATTTCAAATTGATCTCAACATTTTTAAATATTCCAAACAGGTACTCAATTTATGAAAATGTCACATCTATTAAGCCTCAATTAAAAATCTGTTAAATTAACTAAGCTTACTTTGTCTCCAAAATCAATGGAAGGTCATGGAAGGAAGCATAGCCTCCTCTAACCAACAATTACCACCATCATCATCATGCCATCACCTCTAAACCCCAACGCAAAACCTCAAACTCCACCCTACACTCAAGCTGCCAACATCAAGAAGAAGGTCATGGTGGTTGTTAAAATGGTATGGACTGCCATGATGCGGGCACACATGAGCATAAACAAAGTTAAACTAAAAGCTTTACGAGAGCTGAGAATTGGCAAATGAGGAAATCACATGAGCATAAACAAACTCTGTGAAACCCTATCTGAATTCTTAACCCTCTTATATGTTAAGAGATTGCCATCATGATGTATTTCAATTTGGGTCCATTTTCATTCAATTCAATACATGTTTGATCATTGGGTTCAATAATATATAATCTATGTTTAAATTTAGATTTTGAGGCAACTACTATTAATATTGTCCAAGACATATCTAGTTGGTGGATTTTGAATATAATCTATGTTTGAAAAATTAACTGGGCTTAACAGATGTGACATTTTTAATAGGTTGAGACTGTTGGGTACTTGTTTAGAATGTCTAAAAAGGTTGAGGCCAATTTAGAATGACACTAAAAGGTTGGGGAGTTTTAGGTACTTAATCCAAAAATATAATACACATGTATTTATATTTATATTGATTCTGTTCAGTCCAAACCGTTTTTTAGAATCCCCAAATCAAAATCAAAACTGAAACCGAATCAAGCCAGTTTGGTATTCGTTTGGTTTTTGTTTGCTTTGATCAACTTGGTTTTCTTCTGGTTCTTTTTCCTCGATTCGATTCGATTTCTTGGTTCTTCAATTGTTTTGCCCACCCCTACCCTAATAATTAACAAATTAATGCCCTCTTTCTCCTTTTACCCTTTACGAGTTGTTATCCTAATGTCTTCACTTTGAGGACCTGTGAGGTCTTTTTCTATATGAGTTCTCATATTAATCTTACTGTGTTGCAATCATATTTAGAATAGAAATGTGATTGTGTAAATCCTAGTAGATTTGGAATGTATCTTATATTCCTATTAGGAGTAGATTACCTATAAATGTTGTAATCCTAAAGGGAAAGGTTTTTACCTATCCTAATACTATAAATAAAGGCACAATGAGGTGAATCAAACACACCTCATAATTAAATCACTCTCGCTTCTCTCTAACCATAGCTGGCCCCCTCTCTCTCTAAACCCTGGATTGTTCAATCAAATAGGCCTACAATACGTTATCAGCACACTCTTGCTAGAAGCTGAGGAATTTGACGGATAGTAAAGGGAGGCTATCTTCCACAAAATTCAAAGGTTTATTCATTTTTTCCTAATCAGGTACGCTTAAAATAAAACAATATATTTGAACGTCCACGAAGTATGAAAACATTCTCCATGATGCATGAACCCCTCTATGTTTATATTTTCCTTCCAATATATATATTGTATATGTTCATATATTTGTTTCATGCATCGCACAATTAAATTGTTATGTGGAGTATGTGAGTCATTGTATAAAATTAAATTAGAAGCAAATATGGGTTTCCTAAACCCTAGGTTCAAAAAATTGGGTATTTTTTTGGTATTACCGTGGGATGGCATCACCCTAATGCTCTTGGACTACCTGCGCAGCCCCTATTGGGCTTGCTACTCCACAACCATGGGCCTGCAGCCCTAGTTTCTTGGTCCACAGCCCACAAGCCTAGTTTGCTTGGCCCCTGTGTCACGACTTGTAACAAACCGAAGCCAACCTATGTGGCGGGGCTTCCTGCGTCAAACCTAAATGCCAGCAACCTTGCTGGGCCTTGCCCCGTGCCATCTCCCTCGACCCCAACTAAAACCCAACTGCGGCTGGGGTTTTTCTCCCACCCACCGTGGCTTGCAGCCCACTCCCGATGCCCTTTTTGGTCCTTGCATTTTACTCAAGGCACCCAACTCGAGCCCAATTATTTTTCGGGATATATTTTACACCCAATAATATTATTTAGCTTGTACAATCGACCCCGCATGCCCCGATTTATTGAATTAATTAAAAGTGACCTACAGTCCATTAATCTGACAATGAATCCAAAATTATTGACCTGAAGATCATTTTTGGACATTAACAATTCAATAATATATTTTTATACTTTGAACCGTCACATACTTTCATAATAACGAATCTCTCATACTTGAGTTCCCGAAGAACCTCGAAGAACCTCAAATCCACTATATTCAAATTAGTATATTGCATTCTGTGTTTCTTGTAGGAACCTCTCATTATGAACTACTTGTTCATAAAACTAAATTGAACCTGTAGTTTCAAATTTAGTGCCTTTGAAACGTGAAGTTTTCATTTAAAACATACCACATGAAACTTGTAGTTTTCATGCATAAATTAAACCAATACATGTCTATAAAACCTGCATGTTCTACGATATATGTCGATGGCTTACCATATGACTACCTATGTTTTTCCCTCTGTTTTAGGGGCATGTCAAACTTGAAAAAGCTGGGTTTCTCCGCTCTAAAAGTCTATGCAAGAAACTATCTGAAGTGGGTTCAAGACGTGAAGCTCCATTTGACTGCAAAGGGTATAAAAGCCACCATCGAGACATTTATCGTCGACAAACCTGTTGACAAAGCTCAGAAGGATATTGCAATGATCTTTATTCGAAAACACATCCATGATGCACTGCAGACTGAGTATCTCGCTGAGGAGGACCCACGCACCCTCTGGCTTGCTCTGGCCAACCGTTTCAATGACTAGAAAGACATATACTTATCTGAAGCAAGACACGACTGGCAGCATCTTCGCTTCTAGGACTTTAAGTTCATGAATGAATACAACTCTAAAGTTTGTAGAATCCGTTCATTGTTGAAATTCTGTAAAGTGGAACTAACCGAATCAGATATCCTGGAGAAGACCTATTCAACCTTCCATGTCACCAATATTGTCCTGCAACAACAATATAGGGCACAGAAATTCACCAAGTTTTCAGATTTGATCTCTATTTTACTTATCGCTGAAAAGCAAAACTAGCTTTTGATGAAGAATCATCAAGCTAGACCTACTGGCTCGAACGCCGTGCCTGAAGCGCATACCATTAATTCTAGTAGCCATAAATGACTAAAGCATCGTCATAGCCATGCCAATGGGCGGGTCAACAGAGTGCCACACCTAAGGGATGAAATGTGACCCAGCAGTGTTCACCACTAGCCCCTAAGGTCCCAAACTTCAAGAACAAGGGCAAAGCTCATGTTCAACCTGCTTCTACTGAACTGAACATGTGTATCGCTATGGATCAATGGATCATTGGTCACGCGTATGCCGAGCTTCCTCTGAAGCTATTGCCAAATATCATTTCCATCGTGAGTCTAACTTTGCAATGTGGATCATCCGGAATATGCAACTACATTAATAGAGATATTGGATTTTCAGGAGGCGTCAGCGCCTATGGATGAACAAATTAGACATGTTTTTAGGGTGTTTACCCTTAGTGGCCGAACCCACTAGGAGTGGCCGGCCCTATCCCCCCTATTTTTTCTAGGTTTATGGTTTAATTTTGAACATTTTTTTCTAAGTAATTGGAATAATTTGTTTGGTTTTGGTTTGTTTTGAATTATGGATTGTTACTTGAATGGATATTATTTTCCCGAATTGCTTAATTGAATGAATGGACTTATATTTATGCATGTGACCAATTCAATCAATTTTTTTTCTAGGTATGTCTAGTGGGGAAGTTAGTTGTCTGGTAGATAGTGCAACCATGCACACCATCTTGCGTGAACGACACTATTTTACTAACTTAATACCCAAGAGAGCTCATTTGACAACTCTCTCAAGCTCATCCAACTTGCTTGAAGGATACGGAAAGGCACGTATCATGTTGTCTAATGGTACAATTTTAATCATTAAGGAGGCACTCTATTCTCCACGTTCCGGAAGAACGTTTCTGAGTTTTAGAGATATTCAAGATAATCAATATCATATTGAAATCACTGAAAATACTGGTTCTGAATTTCTTTGTATCACTTCATATGAATATGGCCAGAAGCGTATTCATGAGAAGTTGGAATGTCTGCCGAGTGGATTGTACATCACAACCATTCGCGGCATAGAATCCCACAGTGTGGCCGGCCCTATGCATGTGTTCCAGGACACTTTGTTGTTTTGGTATGATTGTTTGGGACATCCTGGATGTGACCAAATACGCCGTATCCTCAAATCTTCACATGGGCATAAGTTGCATCCCTATGTAGGACTCCCGCCATGCAAAATGTGTTCTTTAGGGAAGTTGAATACTCAACCTTCACATACAAAGATTATTCACGACCCCCCTAAGTTTCTTCAGAGGATTCAAGGGGATATTTGTGGACCTATCCAACCAACATGCGGACCATTTAGATACTTTTTGGTGTTGGTTGATGCATCAACACGATGGTCACATGTTTGCTTGTTGTCCACAGACAACGCCACGTTTGCTAAACTCCTAGCTCAAATCATTAAGCTAAGGGCTCACCACCCTGATTATCTAATTAAGTTGATTCGACTGGATAACGCTGGAGAGTTTACGTCACATACTTTTAACAATTATTGCATGTCAGTAGGGATTATGTGGAACATCCTATACCCTATGTTCACACCCAAAACGGCATGGCAGAAGCTTTCATAAAGCGCCTTCAATCGATAGCTCGAACTTTGGTTATGAGAACCAAACTATCGGTATCTGCCTGGGTCTATGCAATATTGCACGTAGCTATGCTGGTCCGCCAGAGGCCCACCGCTACCCAACCACATTCACCGTTATAGTTGGTCACTGGATACGAGCATGATGTCTCGCACTTACGGGTGTTTGGGTGCGCCATTAAATCACTCTCTCTTTTCTCTAACCATAGCTGGCCCCTTCTCTCTCTCTAAACCCTAGATTGTTCAATCAAATAGGCCTACAACATACTGTAAATTAAATTGTCAAATTAAATAATTTTTTTACACGAAAACAAAGTACTAGTTGATAAAAATAAAAAAGGTTTCACAACATGTCGAATCCCTTCCATATCCAAAACCTAGTCTCCTCATCAAATGTCTAAACCCAGCAAATCCAATTGCATAAAACCAGTTTTATCCAAACTTTTATCAGTAATATTCAAACTCAGTTAATTACAAAGCACAAAAAAAGAAAAAAAAGATTGCGCGTTTCGAAAATAATTGTCCGACGACGTTGAAAAACTTGAAACAGGTCCCTTTCCCTTTTTCATAGGCGAAAAAGGAAAAAGAAAAAACTTAGAGGGGAGAAGGGAGTGAACAATCCTAAGAGATGGAGAGTGGAAGGGGAGAGGAGAGAGAAGGTAAGGGAAAATATGGAAGGTTTCACGTGAGAATTTTTTTTAATTTAATCACTTCTTAGAATTATTGTTTTTCAATGTAATAAAGATCGTTTAAGTTGATAACTTAATCTATCATAAGATTAATTTGAGTGATATTGGCAGTAAAATTATTTACTGGTTGAACGGGAGGCTCGAGAACTACATCATCATCATTTAATTAACCGTAAAACTATTTATGGTTGAACGGGAGATATATAAACCACTCTGATTTTTAGGATACAAATTACTAAGATATGAAATCGAAAGCATGAAAAAGTTAAGCAGCATATATAAGTACGTTCCATATTCATGCATGTTTGAGAATTGGAGGTATGTCCATGGCCCATTGTAGTCTTAGCTAGGCATGAGTACCGTGCATTCTTCCAAAACCAGAGTTTTCATTAATCAGAAACCGCGGATTTGGTTTTTTATGATCTTTTATTTCTTCATGATGAGTAACTTCTTTTCTAGCATTCATCACTCTCTGCACCATTCTGCTTCCCAGAACTTGGGTTCCATTGTTTCCTGTTTGAATTCTTCCTTTTAAACTTGGAGTATTATTCAAGCTGCTGTGAATTTTCATAGTAGTAATGTCCTGCACCTGGATCGTGCCTTCCAGTACTTTCCGACCCCTAGAGACGCTTGGTGAGCATGACTGCCTCCTTACTGGTTTTGAAGCAGTTGGTGGTGCAGCTGCTTTGGACTGTATCAGGTGAGTCGGAGTCATACTAGTTCTACCTCGTCCTCCTCGCGTAGGAGAAGTCGAGCGTTGTTCTGTCCTCACATTAGCTGGTTTCTCGTTAGAAAATCCATCTACAATTAGATGATCAGGGGAGGCAGCAGAGGCACCTCTACTACTAGTAGTAGTAGTTGTTGCTGACCCCGTTGGCTTTGTTTTCGAATATTCCATCTTCAACACTCCTCCCAATCCCATTGCCAAGTCCGAGGAGGATAAGAAATCTACTGGAGCTGATGTTTCACCGACCACGTTATAATTTGCTGATCTTTTTGCTCTTGTGTCAACGGATGCTGATGACCTAATAATATTAATATTCGTTGCTGGTTTCTGGTTCAGGCGAGGATCAACTGCGACTGGTGTCGTTCTGTTTTTTGTTTGGACCTTGGATAATACACTTGTGCCTGTGCTACTGCAGCTGCTTCGTCTTTGACTCGGGGTGACACTTCTCCTTACCGGGATTTTCGGTTTTGGTTTTGGAGATATTGGCCTCCCATTTCTTGGTTCAACTGCCTCTGTGTTGCAATTGCCACCTGCAAACTGGTTTCATCCATGTTTGTTTACTAGTAATTCCTTCCATTAGTTACTATGGCACGCCGCATGTGAATGATCTCTAAATTATGATCTAGTCGGAGCTTTTTCCCTAGAATTACAAATACGTGATATTTGGATTTGCGTTAATGTGGAGCATTAGTACTTTTAACCAATTACGTTAGTGTTTTAGCCTATTACATATGCAATTTAGTACTACGATATAGTAATATTCTTCTTCACTGGTAAGTGAGAGGTCTTAGATTTGATTATCGCCAAAGGCAAATGAACCACATTATTGCTAGCTCATTTTAAGACTAAGTCCATTCCCTTTTCTTAGTGTAAGATAAATCATTTGGTAAAAAAAAAAAAATTACGAACATAAAAGCACGTGGTGTTTTTTATTTTTATCTTTTAAACTAACAGAGCCAGTTAAAAAGAACCATGCTTCACATTAAATCAAATTATGACATGGAATGATACGATTTTTAATTCGAAGACCTAAACTTCAATGGGCATAATTTAAAATTTATTGTTTCAATTGTCTCTTAATGAAATTTGGTCTCACTTTTGACTGACTAAGAGTTCGTTTGGATGTGCTTTTAAAATAACTGAAAACGTTTTTTGTGAAAATATTTTTAAAACCAATCTTTAGTAAATATGCAAGTAAATCATGGAAAAATACTTAAAATGTTTCCTAGAAGAAGCACATAATTGGTGATTCTTGCAGAAAGTACTTAAATTGCTTTTGGAACCCAAATTTTTTCTTCTAACAACGCTTTCAATCATTTTAAAAGCATATCCAAACGAGCCATAAGAAATTACAAAAACTTATAGTCTTAATAGCTTACTAAAAAATATTATTTTTTTCGGTTATAAAACACAATTAATTATTTCGATATATGAACTTTATGAACATTGATAACAAAAACAGATTGTATGAATTTTATGAAAGAAAAAAAAGTGCTCTCTTGTCAATATTAGTAGCTAGTGAGTAACATTTACATACCCGCGAAAGAGGTTGAAGGCTTGGTATTTCTCTTTGAACAACTAATTCAGGGCCATTTGTGTCCATTTCCAGAGATGGAAAAAGAGGAGTTGCAGGTGGTGTTTTCAACCTTGATTGATGTACATAAGACGAGCAAATGATATATTAGCTACTAGTAGTCAACAACTAGGGAATTTTATAATTAAAAACTCATAATTTGTTTAGTAATTAAAACTTAAAAACTTAGGATTGATCACTCCTTTTCTAGCTTTGATTTATATATTTTATGTCGCTTCTCTCTCTATAAAAAGCTAGAAACAAAGACAAAACTAGGAATTAAAATTAAATTTAGTTTGACATCAAATAAATGGATTAGTAAAAAAGAGGATCAATAAAGAAGGCCTACCAATCATAGTCGTTCTTGTCATTTTGGGCAAAAATTTCAAATTCCTTTTTGACAGACGCAATTCTGTATAGCTGATAGTTTCCTGCGTGCAATTTTTTTTTTGTCTCAAAGTAAATTTTATCACCAACAAAACAAATGTACCAGAGCTAGGACTAGCTATAGCAAATGAATCAAAGGGCTAGCTATAGTACATGAATCAAATTAAGAAACGAATGAAGGATATATGAAATATTCATATATAATTCTGAAAATATAACTTTTAACTCCTAAAACTCAATATGTATTAAAATAATGATTATGAGTTAATATTTATATATATGCTAATAATATGCAGCAGTACCGTACGTACCATTTGGCTCAAACTCGTCAGAAACAGGTTGGAGGAGGCTGACGATACTGCGTTCTTTTTCGCGCTTTTGCAACTCCTGGAACAGAATAAGATCTTGATCATGATATCTGTCATCCTTCCGTCCTCCGTTGATCAAAGGCATCCCGGGAACTCTCCTCCTGCTACCACCCCTTAAGCTTGCGCCATTCGGTTTAGAATTCGAATTCATGGTACTGTTTATATATATATCTACGGGCCCGCGTTTAGGGTTTTAAGGGTATAGGTCGCTCCAGCTCTTTTGGGTTTGGTTAACTGCAGCTGCAAAATTCTTCTTGCAATTAGCTACAACATATATGTATATAGGACACTGGTCGATCCGATAGAGGAGGAGGTTTAACTTATCGGTCAACACATGGATGGATCGAGTTAGACGCTACACGATAAACCAAATTGCATCGGCTTAAAGAGAGGTTGCCACGTGGAAACTTAGCCGGCAATTTCAATGTCTACAGTCTACTACACAAACACAAAGCGACGAAATTTGCTTAATCATATCAGATGTAGGGGGTGATAAACCAAATTCAAAAGTTCTTTCTCCCGCCACACTAACTGTGCAACCAACGCTGCAACAACCTTGCAACAGCTCCACTCCTCAGAAGCCGCAAGTTTCTCTCAAGATGATAAGTTTAAGAGTGTCAATAAGTTATTAGGACAAAACTCGAGGAGTAGGATTAAAAGGAATAAAAAGATCAATATGATAATTTAAGAGTGTCAATAAGTTATTAGCTAAAGAGTCTGACAAAAAAAATTTAAATTCAACAAATATAGTAACCAAAACTATCAGCGGAACTTTAACAAACAAAACAAAAGCTCTTCAAAAAAATAGTTCGTTTAACCAAAGAGTGAAATTTTTCAGATTCAAAGTAGACATATAGGACTAACTTGTATCAAAATTTCGTGGGTTTTCAAGTTCGGTGAGTATAGGAAAATTGAAGTCTAAAACAAGCATGCTGCTGTTTTTTTAACAGCAGCACCAAGTCACTTTCAATAGATCTGGAAATAAAATTGATTCCGTTCTAAAGGGTCAAAAATCTGAAATGCAAAATGCAAACTAAGTAGTAGTAATCAACCACAAATGTGAATATAACCAAGTTTCATAATGGTTCTCAAAAGATAACTCATCCACCCCTAAAAATATAACGAGTTCGCAGAAGAAACTTAGAGCTTCTTACACAAACATGTTTAGATCATTTGATAAATAATATACATGAACGAAATTTACACATGCCAAAAGATTCATGTTTAGATGTTACATGGTTCTCATTGCCTAGGTAGGTTGAGACACCAAAGGCTACCCTATGTGGCCTACGTCAAAGGTCTTCTTAATTTAGAACGCAGCAAAAAGATCATCTACAAACTGAGACCAACTATACAATATACTGCGACAGCTCACCCAAATGATACATACATCTGAACTCTTTTCTACTGGTCACATTTAGAGCTGCAACTCAAAACCAAGCTGTTTTCCCTACACCACCTAAAATACATTTTTAGAAAGAAAAAAAAAAGGTGAGCATAAAATGAATAGCAGGAACTTTTCAGTAAGTTCGTAGTCATTTAAATTCTTAGTGCATGAAAAAAAAAAACAATAAAAGTATTTCAGAAACATTCAAATCCACGACTATTGGATCCAACGTCGAAAATAAGCTTTAAAGATGTTCTGAATAGCCATACCGCGAGATGACCAAAGTTTCAGAGCATTATAGTATAGCTTTGTTAAACAACAACACAGTACTAACACAATAGTTCGACAGTTGTTTTTTTTTTTTTTTTTTTTTTATTTTAAATTTTTATTATCCACAAGTCAACATGTTCGAAAGTATTTTCTTTTGTTCTAAGAACACCGAAACTGGCATCTTATATAGAAAGAAAAATGGTGCGACCATTCACATACACTTTCTTTTTGTTGGGAAAATTACAAGGAAACTGTAATATTCTTCTAAGAAGAATGTAGACAATTAGGCTGAGACGCAGGTATTTCACTCTCTTTAAAAAAATTCAAGCCCACTACGGTTTGACAAAAGTTATAAACCGATGCAGTAGTATATCTCTTGACTTGTCACCTGCAGGATACAATAGTCCAACTAAATTGTGTTTTACTCGAACTTTTTGCACAAAAAGAGAAGAGTTCAAAGCTCTACCATAAGAACACCCTTCCTTGGCCAATGTGTAATAGAATTGTAGCGTACCTGGCCAATATCCACATCAAACATGTATTTACATCATTGTTAATTCTTTCTTGCACCCCACATATGGAGCTTTCCTGGGGAATATTGGATCATTGTGCCCATAATTGAACAATTTCACGGATCATAATTGTGCCCATTCATACATTTCCATCATTCTCAATTGCACAGGTATATATTACTTTCCATCTACTTTCACAGTTAAACATTCATATCAAAATGCTCCAATATCTCATATGAATAAAAATAAAAGGCATGCACGTCAAAACCCAATCTTAAACAACCTTTGCACCTACTTGGAATCTACGATGCATGAACATGGTAGTTTACACCCATATCACATATCTGATACGCTAGAAATATTATACGTGACAGATATGAACGGATGCACGATGAATACGTACTAGAATCAACAAATACGTTTGACTGTTAGGATACTCGTATCCGACTGTTGGGATACAAGTATCCGTCTTGTGGGATACTTTTGGCACTATATTCAAAGGATAATCACAAAAAATCCAATATAATTGCACAAAATCCTAAGAGAATCGTGATAATTGCATTAAATTCACATGGCTGACAATGAAGGCTCTTACGAGATGAAAGAAGGGGATAGCAGAGCAATCATAAAAGGGCGAGTGCAGAAGGTGAAGGTGGTGAGAAAGGAGGGGCGCAAAGCAAATATAAATAGCCAAAAGGGTATAACAAGACAAAAACAACCATTGTTTTATGGGAATTTTAACGAAAAATTATTAGTACTGTTCATTTTAATGAAAAACCATATTTGTATACTAAAAAGTTAATATTAGTACTATTCACGTTACCATTTACTTTGTTCTTATCGTTAAAACTCAAAGTTTTCAAGCCGTTTTTATTATTATTAATTTTTTTTTATTGTGATCAGAGAGAGAGAGAGAGAGAGTGAGAGAGAGAGAGAGAGAGTGACTGAGGGTGATAAATGTGAAAGAGCACATCATCGAGATCGCTACGGCTGTGAATTGGGCTGCATTGGGCCTAAGGAAGTTTTTGGGTTTAAAGGTGGGTAAATTCAATTTATATGACACAAAATGAGTAAAGGTGAGTTGACAAAATTTAGAAATCACATTTAGAATTTCTAATCTAATCTTTACTAATTAATAAAACATTCATTGTCAATCAAAATTTTATGAAATTACCAGTTTAACCCTCTAATTAAAATAGAACATGAATAAGAAATATAGGGTAGAAATGTAATTTCACACAACTGATAAGCTCATATTTATATATATTTTATATCAAATTCACTTGTCTTTTCTTAGTTAGTTCCTTATATTTTTGAGTTATTTACCTTGTTTTTGTGTTTTGTAGGATTTGTCAAGTAAAGAAAAGAAAAATAACACAAGTGGAATTTTAAGTAATAAATTCGTCAAAACTGCCTGTGCAGGTCAGCTGACTTTGGAAGCAAGTTGCGGACAGTTCAGAATGAATTAGAGAATGAGTCTTATATGCTTGGAAAGCTACGGATGTCTATTTTCTGGAGCATTTTGCGGATTGTTAATATCATTTTTCTAGAAAAAGCTATGGTCATTCAAACACTGAAAGGTTCTCAGAAGGCTGGGCAGTTTGTAACTGACAAGAAAGCATTGAAAGCAATAAATCCCATAAAACTAACAGCCAAAACTGATGCAGCCAATAACAAACCAGCTAACACCTATTCAAATATTAGAGGAAATGAAAAATTAAGTGAGAGTAATGGGCATAAAGGCTGCCCAAAGAGTTACAATTGTTTTAGCATTTCCTCCCACTTATTGTCATCACTAAATGACTGTTAGTGGGGTGAGTTATGGAGAAAAAACTGTGGCAGCAGAAAAGAAGAAAAGACTACAAGTTGCAGCAACAAAGGGGGAGAAAAAGGGTGAAAAAAAGATAGAGAAAAAAAGAAGCAAAGCAAGGGAAAAAGGCAAGGCTGCTGCTTTGGGGAAGGAAAGAAAGGAAGGAGGAAATCTTGGCATTCTCTTCTCTCGGTTTTATCTTCTCAAACTCATGTCTTTCTTTTGGTTTAATTTGAGAATTATGTGTAACTAATTTTTAGTAGTTAGGGGCTATTTTGAAGCCCCTAATATGATTGCAAGTTTGTTATGACATTTCGTTTGAATTACTTTTACGAATGGATGAAAATTGATTCACTACTTGTCTCATTGATGAATTCTTTATGTGTTTTCTATGGATGCATACTTAGTAAGCATATCTAGGATTCTAATGCTATGAATATGTGTGTGCCTGCCCTTGTCGAATGAGGACCTACATATGTTCTAGTGTAGTACTTGTTAATTGCGATTAACATGTGAATCAATTTCTAGGATAAGTAAGACAACACTAGTACTTACGATGCCTTGTGATGACTCAAACTCTTTTCATTCTTAATGATTTCTACTTGTTAAATCTATGAACACGCCATTCTAGATTGCATGTTAGGGACTAAGTTAAGTTGAAAACGTCATTCTCTTAACATACTACATAAGAAAGAGTAATAGGTTGAGTTTTAACATTGAGCCAACTTGGGCATCTTCGTCCAAAAATGAAAGGAATTTGAATGAAACATAACATGTTTGCATGATTATTTGGTGGTGGATAGCAATTCCCCTAACTCCTTTTTCTTAATTTGTGAACTACTTAAAAATCTGTCTCTGTCTTGTTTTTGTTCGATTTAATTTAAATATCAAATCAACTCCAAAAATCCCAAAAATTTGTGTAAGTGTAGCTCTGTGTGTCTAGTATCTGCATATAAAATTTCGTAGACTTTAGATAAGTGTACGTCAGTCTAATAATTATTTTTCGATGGTTGGTCAGTAGGGACAGCAGCCCAGTTTTTGTGACATTTTAAGTAGTTAGATAAAACAATCTTCTGCCGGGAAAGACCCTTATTTTCATATGCTACAATTGACAAATATTATTGTTAATAAGGAAAATTAATAGGACATCTGTGTGCTACTTTGTGGTGTGC